TATTTTGCTATTCTCAAAAAGAGGCATATATTGGGTCCACCACCAGAAACCTAATAGAATTGAAGTATAAAAGCCTGTAAATTTCTAACCATCTGACAAGAGTATTAAAAACATGTTGTTTTTTTTGATTTGCAGTCTTACAACTTTTCTATCATATTGCATTGTTTCGGATAAGGTTGTGATTACGTTCTACAAATCAGAAATCCATATCAGAAATACCACCAAAATAAGATTGATTTCAGATGTCATAATTAGCTCTTATATAGCAACGCTAATATGTGGCCTTAGTCGAATATGTCTGCAAAGCTTTCTTGCTGCAGGCAAATCACTGAAACAACAAATTACCACACATTTTATTCTCTTGCCAAATGGAGACTCAAACATAGCTGATAGGTCTATCCCTTCTCAAGTTTTATAAGCTGATCAACTATAAGTGCTAAATAGTGATTTAGTTGATGCAGCTTTGGTTCTGAAGGTCTAGGTATGATGGCTAATGTTATTATATTAGATGGTTTAAACCTTTTGTGTAATGAAAAAAAATAATGTAAGAAAAAAAAACAAATATTAAAAAAAAAACAAATATAAAAAAAAAAAAACAAATATAAAAAAAAACAAAAAAAAAGAACAAATGTAAAAAAAAAAGAATAGAACAGAAACCTTTCATGACAAGGAAGATTATATATAACAGCATATATAACCCTCACACAATATAGAGATAAATCAAATACTTGAAACTAATCTAAATTTATTATTAGGCCTTTATGGCTATCGGCTGTTTCTAGATGAAAAATGGTATTCCTTCACTATTAGAGAATGATTTCTATATTCTACCATTATATATATTTGATAATTAGGTTTTGGAAGGTTAATAGACCAATCTTCTACAAGCCTTTTCAAACTCTGATCTCTGAAATGACTTAGTGAACAATTGTTTCAAGTTTACTATAAGATAAAGGGCGATTGGCTTTCTAACTATACTATTTGTTATCTTGACTTTCTTTAAAATATTGTGTTGCATAGTAACTCTTCTGCTGATATTAATAGAGTTGAAAATTCTATATGAGTACAGCGAAGTATTTTCAGAGTTTGTTCTACTTCCATTGTTGATATGTCTTTTATATTATATAGTTTGCAACAAAATTCACATGCAGCAAATTTTGTTGTATTATTAGATATATTAATCATATTATTTGCCACATCAATTGAAGTAGAAAAGCTATGATATTTGTCTTTGTCTATATGAGTTAACAAATATCACAAATATTTAATTAAAGAGGCAATGCTTGTATTAGAAAGCTGAAATCTTTTTTAGTAATGAAAAATCTATAGTACAATCTGCAATACACATTTATCAATAGTTTGGATATTGGTCTTAGGGTTATACTCTAAATTAGGTGTATTGAAGTTTATTACATTTTCTTCTTTGCTCTCTTCTTTGCTCACTTCTTCAGTTTCATCAGTTTTATTACTTCTTATATTATGTTCATTTTCATTGTCAGAAAAAAGTGACAAATCTTTATCAGGATAAAAAGCTGATGTCTTTGCATTATGAAAACCTTCAGGAAGCTGCCTAACAAAAAACTGAAGATTTTCTGGTTGTGGCAGGAGCACCAAATCGCATTTCTCACTATCTGAATATCCTTTTATAAAATATAAAAAAGAAAAAAAATTAGAGTAATTAGAATAAAAAAAAAATAAAACAAAATAAGCAAAAAAAATAAGAAACATAAAAAATTAAAAAACAAATTTCACTATCTGTAGAATCAATATTATCTTAATCTATTAAAAAAATGCTGTTCACTATATCTGAGGAGCCTTCTTTATTATAGCTATCAACTGGTCGATAGCCTGTCTACCATCTTGAAATAATACATTTCTCCCTCACAATAAAAGGTTTCCGTCTTTCTGCTTCATGTCCAGCTTTAACTCTT